CATACTAGGGCTATACGTACGCCACAAAGTGTGGAGCAGATGGTGCAATGGAACACGCCCAAGTAACATGGCACTTGGTGCTCTCCCGTATCGCTAGAACGTATTGAAGCAAAGCATGGGAAGCAAACTTTATCGGATAATGCACTGTGAGGTAACACCTCGATGCGAATTCAACTCTTCAAAGCACAACGGCGGTCACTGAACATACCACGATCGCAAATACCACCGCGTCTCCACATCAGAATTCGGGACGACGGTTATCTGAAGTATGCGACTTTTGACGTCAAACTGCAGTCACCGATCCCGTTGAATATTCTGGAGCGTTCTCCGCATCCCACCAGGTCCCCACCGTTCCCGCATCGTCTCTCAACCACGTTGTCAGCATGTGTTCATCTGTACGCGCATGCGGTGCGCGCTTACACACCCGGATGAGGACCACAGCATTCGCGGGGTACAGTATTGGGGGATAGTCGTTAGAGTACTGCAAAATCGATCTGATCGCCTTTTCACACCGTATGTAGGCAACGGCGGAAGCGTTGCTGGTGATCATCAATCAATTCCATGGTCAAAGAGAGCCTCTTGACAGAATCTGGGCCAGTATGTGCGATGAGCCACCAATCAGAAATGTGGAGAAGGGCTTGGCCGAACCGCTCAAAGTGGTGTAGCCGTGCAGCCTCCCTTTCCCCGCCGCGCGAGCCTTTTTCGGTACCGCGAATCTGGTAATCACCACCCCAGTCGTACGATGACATGAGGTTGCGCGAACATATCCAGTCGATCTCTCATCTCACTTCCACATGTCTCGAAACATCCCTCGGCAATTACGAGCTGTCCTCTTACGATACTGCGGTGGTCGGCACATTTCTGATACGGCGACTGGATGCGATGCATGCAGCTGACTTTTGGACTCCAATGCCGACTAGACCCGCGTAGGTATCGGACTCGGAATAAGACATACGCGTCGATACCAGCCATTGTCATCATCCCGCCGACGATAGCAGATAGCAGACAGCGGCACCTAATGTCGGGCTCGACAGACTTTCTCTGCTCGATCACGGCAAAGGTGCGAAGTTTTTCTTTTCTCCCTTTTCGATACACGCCCAACATGTGCTAAAACATCTAAGCTCCGGTGACTAGCCCAGTACAACGTAGAAGAAGCAAAGCCATGCGGCTAGCTTAGATATACCGAAAGCATATTCCGCCCTCTCTGGGGCTTGCCGATCTCAATGCCGGGCACGAGGAACCGCTCTTGGTGTTTGCCGTGTGGTTACTGAAATCATAGTGGCTGGCTGTTGTATCTTGGCAGAGCTTCGTGATGGACCAGCAGCTTCAATCCCGACACCAACCAGATGTATCTGAGTGTCTGAGGGATATTCTAGAAGAGTATGCTTATCAAATACCCACAGTGCCCGCCTGCATGCACGACATGGCTCACAGTCACTCTTACCAAGTCCCATCCACAACCCCTTAGCCGCAAATCCTTCGGCTCAAGCCGAAATCACGACTTCGGACCCAACGTTCCCCAATCTAGAACGACACAAGGACAAGAAACCTGCCTTGGCTAACCCACACTCGACCCGAATCCCCCAAACCAATGGAACGCCTTAAGACCCGACCATCCGCACACGTAGTGCTTCTAATACAATAGCCACGCTACCAAACCACCATAGTCGTGGTGACAATCAACTAGCCTCGTACGGGCCACTGATACGGCATTCGCATCGAGTGTCTTGCCTGACTTTGACCATGATCACAGTAGCGAAACAGGTTTCGAAGCACCACCTGCACTCTCAGGTCCGCATTCGGCAATATGGCATATGCACATATGCACAACGAACAGAATGGACTAGACAGACATGCCAATTGTCGATTTGTCGATCTCCCGAAATGTTTCGGGCTGCTGTGTTATCGGTTGGGGGCTTTCGGGTATCGGCACGGTTCCTTATCCGATGTATAGCCGCTGTAAGGGGTAAGTGTGGTGGTGTGTTTGATATGTTGTATACGATGACGTCGACGATCGTGGAAATGTTTGTTATTCGCGATGGGGGTATCGCGTTAGTGGAGAAGGTGGTTGGGTTGGGCTCGACCGTGCGTGGGTTTAGATTGGGGGCATTCCCGAACTGCTGGCAAGGCGTGAACAGGTTTTCCTTTTCCCACGTGGGTTGGGGAAATTTTACGTTGCATTTTCTCGTGTTGATCGGAAAACGAGCGGGACTTGCCGGTGCGTTGTTGCATCTTGCTTCTTTGTATAAATTATGAATACTGGGAGGATCAGCACGATACATGTATATCGACGTACTTGCGATCGAAAGTACCAGCGATCGATGTAGAGTGACATCGACTCGTTCTTATACAATCGGACGATGAATTGACTTGCGCGCGATACCAAGAATGCAGCTCAGGCCACTAGCGTATGGAGGGAATGGAGGAGGTATACAGCGCCTCATCAGACCGGAAAGGAGGCGGCATCGATGAATGCGTGATATCTACAGGACACACCTAAGCTACCTCTATATGTGCGTTTACTTATCGATCGACAAAGATACACGACTGTATGCTCCGTAAGCTACTCCGTAGAACACGGTGAGCAGTATGTACTCTTGAAATGCTCCAAACTCCTCGCTATGCAATGGACATGTTCCTTCATGTCGATGACCTGCATATGATGGGTATTGCTCGTGCACTCATATCATGTTTACAATATTAGGATGGCTTAAAAGTTCTTCTTGGGCCTCATGTCCACGATTTCCAGGGGCGCGTCGGTCAGCTCGACCACATGGCCTGGCTTGAGCGCTTCGGTGTAGATGTTATCGACGTCGTGAGGATGGAATATGCCAGGTCGACTGCAGTTCAAAATGGCTTGCTTGCCTGGGGGGTCAGTAAGGCGGAAACAACCCCAGCTGTATCACTGTCAGTGTCTCAAACGAAATCAAGGGGAAGCTGGATGGCATACCTAGGCTGCTTTGTTGGAGCGCAAACGATGGCGATGCTTTCTGGCATCATGACCTGGTATCCGACATGGGTGTGCAGGTCTCTGCTGCTCATAAAACAGGTCTGCGTCGGATGAGTGTGAATCCAACCGAGGACCATTAACTCTTCTTTGTCACAGTAATCGAACAACTCTTCTTCGTTCAATGTTTCGCATGTGTCGCTCGTGCTAGTTTGTTCGGGAATGATGAGTCGTGTGATGAAGAGAGCGTTGGATTTTAGTATTCCACCCAGCATGCCGCATGTTTCAAGATTGAGACGTGTATTGGAGGAAGCAACGGCAAGGAACTGATTGCGTAGTTGGGAGGGGAGGAAAACGGGACGGAGGGGATCGCCATTCTCCAGGAAGGCCGAAGGCTTGAATGTGAATTCGTCGAGCTCGGTGGAGGGAGTCAATGGCCTCTGATCGGGTATCTTGCTTGGCAAAGGTGGCGCGCTTTCCGAGATCTTGCCTGGGACAGGAGGAGGTCGTGAATGATCGTATCGCGCATCGTACGTAGAAGCTGGAGACTTGGGCGGCAACGGCGGTGGAGCTGCGGGTGTGCCAGAGGCCCTGTATATCTGCTCTTTTGGAGGTCGCGCAGGTGCCGTGTCGCGTGACTGGGAGTCTGACCATCTTTCTTGGGCAGTCTTGTATGGTACGGTAGGGTAGTGGTATGGGGAAGCGGATTGAGACGTGGGACGCTGGGCTTGTCAGTAAAGAAGCCAGATAACTGTCGCATGAAGCTTACCGAAGAGTATGATGCTCTGTGGCCATTTTGCTGGAGTCTGGCAACTTCTTGCAGTTGGTTCGAGATATCGTCTCCGTCGGGCCCTTGCTGCCAGCTGTCCCAGGTGCCTCCACTGCGGCGCGCATGCTCTTCCTCCTCCGAGACGCCATGCTGTCGCACACCTCTTCTGACAGTGTCTCTCCTCCGCACTTCTCTCTGCGCGAGTCTCGCAGCAAGCGACTGGTTTTCCAGAGAGCGCGCATCGATCGTGGGCCGCGAATCGAACGACCGTCTCTTGGGCCCCCGATCTTGAATCGCCAAACCGTCCAGCTCCTGCGGAAGAGCACCCACGCCCTGCCCTTCCAACGATCTCAGACTTTCCTTCTGTCTCCGCCTCCTCTCTTCGTATTCTTCATGCCTCTTCTTGATGCGCGGCGCGATTTCCTCGAGCTTCTTCAGGTCGCGACTGACGGCTGCTGTTGCAGCATTGAGCGCTTTTCGGTTCTCGGGCTTGTTCCTGTCAGGATGGCCCTGTAGCTTCTGGAGGACGAGGTCGGCATGACGGTATAGGAGGAGGTATGTCTGCGCGTCGTTGCCCTCTGCTTCATAAACTTGGGCCTGGCGGGAGTGAGCATGCGCATCTCAGGCATGGCAAGTAAACACACCTCTTTCTGCATGGTACTGGCTGTGCGCAGCCAATTCGCCAAGGGAATGTGCGCATTGTATGTGTAGTTTCCGGCCTGTTCCGTCACTTCGGGCAGGCTCACGGGGCTGTTGATGGTAGCCATTGCGGAGGATGTGTGTTGCGGAGCGGCGGGGCGGGTGAGGTATGCCTAGGTATTCGCGAATTACGGCCTCAAGGCAACAACTTTGCGACAAACAGGACCGCTACCGGCGCGGTTGGAGATGACGCGTCCGCATCAGTGACATGGGGAAGTTGTGTTTGGCGCTGCCTGAAGAGAATCAAGTCTAGGGCACTGTGATGGGGGATGGGGGATGCTGGATACATGGCGGGGCAATCAGGGCCCTGCTGCGGCGCGTGGCAAGCACGACCAGATCGACTTGACGAGCTTGGGCATCAAACACATGCATCGCAGACAAGATGGGCATAAAGGCAGACGATGGTCCAAGAGAGATTATGGTGGACTAGCGATGGCACTTGAAAAGCAGCCATGTCTGATATGCAGGGCAACAGAGGCGGCCGCGCGTGTTCACGTGTAATGACATCGGTGTACAGGTCCACAGAATCTAATCGCGTCTAGTATCCAAACATAACGAATAGTATCTAGCAACATGTCTCCATCTTCACTTGTCCTCTGAGTCCTCCGATAGCTTGTCCCACTCGCTATCGGTCGATAGATCGCCTGTTGATTCACCCATTCCCTTCCTTCTCTTCAGTGCTTCGTCTACCGGTGCCGCAAGACTCGTCGTCGTTCCCGTAGTACTCGCAGTGGCAGGACCTCCGCTACCAACAGAAGCAGCAGCTTGTGTTGGATTCTCCGGCTCACTTCCACCAGGTCTCTCAACGAAGACCGTGCTCTGTGTCTCGGGGCGGGGCGCGCGAGGCTGGTTCGACTTGGGCTTGATCGTTTGCGTCTGCTCGACCTCGGTATCCACCTCGGTATCGTCGCCTGTGTCCATGCCATCTCCGTCGTCGCCTGCTGCACCTCCCTTTTCTTTTCCGCCTCTTCTAGCTTCCCGGATACGCTTTGCTTCCTCCTCCTTCGCCTGCGCAGCCTTGAGCTCCGTCGCGAACCAGTTTATCGACCACCAGAGACCTCCGCATAAAAGGGAGAGGATGACGAAGTGTATGCTGTACGTCGCGATGAGCATGACGAACAGAAGGACCTGGAGCGCCGCGAACGAGGCGTTTGTTGCGATAAGGAGCGTGGGCGTGGGCCCCGCGATGAAGATGGACTCCCATAGCTGTTCGAAGAAGGCTGCCATACTGTGCACTTGTTTTTCCGCTCGTCGTAGGTGGTAGGCGTGGGTTCGTCGGTGCGTGCAGATATCGTCGCTCGTATTCCGGGTTCTTGTACGGCCCCACGATATGGCTGCCTAGCCAAGTGGACAGGTGCGGCGTCGTTAGGCAATGCGACTTGAAGTTTTGTAGTGAATTGATGTGCGAAAGCGATCTGGTCGTGTACCAACGCCAGAGTGGACTGACGGAGCGGCGTGCTGGAGTCGGGAGAGATGCTCGATTGCTGCTTGAGGTGTCGCGGGGCTGGCTGGCTTCGGCAGAGCTGTCCAAGCTAACCCCCAGTCATTACCCTACCGCGTCACGCGTCGTGACCACTATATTACTCCGCCGGACCATAAGCGTTTAGACGCGGCAAACGTCCCTCGTGATCAGAACCACATGCATCATACCTGCTCCCGTCCAAGCATCGTCGAGTCTTCTCACAACGATCTGCGTCCATGCGCCTTCGCCAGCCTCATAGCTATGCTTCAATAGGCAATTGCATTACTGTCGTCATTGTACGGATAGCTCAACATCCTCTTGTCCGGCTCCCCATACATACGCTTTTGCAGCAGAACCTTAACAAGGCAATTACTCCACCTCCTCGCGTTGCGCACTGCTTATCTTCCGTGCTTCTTCAACTTTCTTGACATTCTTGTGCTCGAACCCAAAGGACGCAACCAAGGCAAGCCCACTCGTCACCAGCAAGAAGAGAAAAACGTCCCGAATGGCATTTTGATAAGCCAACTTATTCGCCCCGTTGCTGTTCAGTCCTTCCACCGGCGAATTCGGAAGGCTGGACTTGACGTCTGCTGTCAAGCGACCCAAGAATATGGTTTGTGATATACAGAGGCCTACTGCACCGCCGAGTTGAAAGGCAAATTGTAATAATGCTGAAGAGAAAGTCAGATTTCAGATAACAGGACGTAAACAGGCCTTACCATTCCCGGTGACCATGTCTTCCTCATTCAAGACGGCCGATACAGCTGTGTACGGCAGATTGATCGCGCAACCAGTACCAACACCGCATATGATGAAGTATGCCGCCCACACACCATGGCAGGTGCTGACGTTGAGTAATGTAATGAGCCCGGATCCGACCTTCATTCGGATGGTCAGTCAATCCTGGAGATGAAGTTTCCAAATGGAACTCACTACGCTCAGGCCAGTCCCAAGGATGATGAATGGCGTCTATCGAGACTCAGTCCAGAACGGCGCGATCGTTCTGCAAAACTCACGTAACAACCTGATCTCGAAACTAGGGCCCCAACTACTACTACAGTCAAAATCTGCGTCAACGTCAAGAACAAAATCCCCACACCACTCCTTTGCGCGCTGAAACCCTTTACTGTCTGAAAGAACATGGGTACGTATATTCCATACTATCTTCATGTCAGGCTTATCGGGAAGCTGTGTGTGGGGAGCAATTACATACCGAGAAATTTGGCATCGAGAAGAAGAATAGATACACGACTCCGAAAGCGATGGATCGTTGTTTGAGGACTCCAAACGGCACAGATGCGTCGTCCCCCATCTTCCACTCCATTAAGAGGAACAGCACAAGTAAGACCCCGGAGATAGAGAAAAGACCGATGATGATGGGAGAGCTCCAAGGAACACGATGGCCGCCCCATTGCATTGCCACGAAGAGACAACACATGGACGCGATCAGCAAGAGACTCCCGCCCAGATCAAGCTTGAGGAAAAAGCGACCAACATCATGTCCCCTGCTGGAAGTTTTCACTTTCCCAACTCCCTTTCCTCTAACAAGTCTCAAGAACACCGCAACAAGTCCTAAAACCACGGCACCCAAGGGCAGATTACTTGTAACTCGTAAGCACAAAATCAGCGATTCGGGGCATACTCACATCCAGAAGCACCACCGCCATAATCCTCGATCAGCCAACAAACCTCCCACCACTGGCCCGACCCCAATGCTAACCCCAAATGCACTGACAAATAGCCCGAAGAAGAAGGGTCGCTGGGATAAAGGAACAATCTTCGTTACCACGGCAAAAGAACCTTGCATTAATCCCGCTGCTCCGCATCCTGCCACCGCTCTCCCTAGAATGAAGATTGCAGATGAAGGTGCGACTGCGCAGAGTACACTACCGACTAATGGTTACATCAGCTTATCGTTTTGTACACCCTACACTCATATTAGACCAAGAAAGCACCCGACGTACCTTCGAACACCCCCACAGAAACAAGATACAACATCTTGACATCCCCCACTTTATACAGTTTCCCCAATGTAGGCTGCAGCGCTGTGAGCGCAAGAAGATACGCACTTCCATACCATGCGAGATGGTCGAGGACGTGGAAGGTTTTGGTTATGGTCAGTAGGATGGGGTTGAGGATTATGGTGTCGAGGGCTACGAGGAAGGTGCCGAGGTAGAGGGAGGTTACAATGAGGATGAGATGGGCTTTCGGTGTGGATTTTGATGTAACAGAAGGATTAGGGCGAGGAGTAGTGGTAAGCTCGATGGATGGGGACATGGTAGGATGTGGTTGGCGTGTTGGAGGGGTTGAGTATGTTAGAAACGATGAAGTTGTTGACTTGAAGATGGGAGATATTGAGGCTTCCGGCTTCTTGAACAAAGATTGTCTTTTCAGGCTTCCTCTCACGAATGTAACTACGACGGGGTCCACATGGCTGGCATCGGCCTGTCTGTCACAAAACAGCAACATCTTCAGCAGTTTCGAAACGAGTATAGTACTTGTAATACACGGAAGAGGGACGGAAATATGAGAGGGTGTCGCAACTGAACAGCTGAGCAAGTAGCGCAGGTACCCGTAAGCCGCCATCCATGAAGCCGCCTGTACAACCCGAGCTTAACGACACTGAAAGGTTCCGGTCAACTGATTTTCACATACGCATGATAAGCTTCTGGTATGATTTCCGAACGGTACGGAAGGGTGGGTAGATAGGCAAGGTGTTATTTCGCTGTTACTCGCTACATCCGCAATGGTACCCACGATCGACCCGCCTCCCTATCCACAGCCCCATCATGTTTCAAGAACCGTCCCCGAGCGATCTTCCTACCAGTTTCCACGACAAAACCCTCTCAGTCCCATCCTCCAGAACGACTTCGCAGGAGCTTTGGCGATAGTGCGAGTGGATTTCCGAATCTAGTAAATGTAGGGCTTGCCACACTGCTTGCGTCTCTGGGCGTTCCATGAGCTGACATTGGAGAATTTCCCGTCGGCGTTGCATTGTCCAGCAGTCGTGCTGTCCTTGGACGCCCTCAAGCACATTCTCGGGCAATCATCGACAAGGTTGTCCTGGAAACATCACAATGGTGAGCAAGTCAACCTTGAGTGTGAAGTGATACATGACGACTTACGATAACGCAGCAATGGCTGCCGTCTGGGTAAAGGCACTGGCAGTATGAAGCTACAACGCTGCTTACGCTGGCAAGGAGCACGGTAACGATAGTAAGACGCATGTTGGGCGTTGATGAGGAGGATGCAGTTGGGTTGGGTTGTGGGTTGAAGTGATGAGTGATGTGATGGTGCGGAGGAGTGGAAGAGAAACCACGATCTTTATAGAGTCCAGCAGACTAAAAGACCACATAACACGAGTCATAGTCATATTTCGGCGGATTTACGAAGCACCCCACGGGGGGACGTGCATAGGTCACATTGGATCCGTTCAAGTAATCTCACGGAGACTACCACAGTACGCTTGTTTTCGTTTGGAAAGGTTCATCATCGTATCAATAATACACGGTGAGAAGGCACACCGTCATATCAATTATTACACGCGGCGATTACCGTATTTACATAAAAGGGTTTACATTGAATGGGAGCTTCCCAGCGATCGAGGTCCTAGGATCTCGAGAACTGAGGAAACTCAAGAGAAGGTACATTGTTACATTGACTGCCATAATACAAAGAGACGATTGCTTAAGAACTGCGCAAGGGCACCTTGAGGAGCTTCTCCTCTACTTCGCGTTTCCAATGGTCCAATCCGTGCAGGAGCGGCGCCACGAAGCGTTCCATGAGCTAACGTCCGAGTACTTGCCACCAGCGTTGCACTTGTTGTCCGAGTTTCCGTTGTCGATGCATCGGGCCACGCAGTCCTTCCTGATGCCGTATTGCTAGTACATCGTTAGATTCGGTCGCTTGAATTTCCTGTTTGATTCCACTCGGGCTATCATTGGCTTACAGTAACGCAGCAGTGGGAGCCATCCGCGTAGAGGCATTGGCACCATCCATCAGCGGCGACGGAAGTGATGGCGGCGAAGATAACCGCGGCGATGGAGAGTCGGACCATTTTGTCGTGGATCGAGGTGAATGAGTAGTTGCGTGTGATGAAGAGGTGTGTAAAACTTGTGGGTAATGAAGATGCTGTGTCGGTATGCTAGGTATCGAGAAGATCACTGTTGCTTTATATAGACGGCAAGATCATGTTCGTCTATCACAACAGAGACGACCCGGAGACGACCCACCAACCACACCTGGTTACCTTCCCGCCAAGGCCCTCAATTCACACGACCCATGCGCAAGTGGATGGTCTCGAATGGGAAGTATCTCAACTCCAAGGGCCTCGTCTATCACAATGAAACATTGTGGTCAGCTGAGTAGAAAAAAAGTCGTCGCGCCGATTCTATTGTGATGTTGAGGTCAGTGGAACGATACCTAGATACCTAGATAGGGCCGAATGGTCCTTAGGTTCGGAGGTCAGTGCGGAAGTCGGAGAGCACCTGCAGACGGGATCTAAACGATGTTTAGATACCTAGATAGAACGACACCTACGACACACACACCTTACATACACACCAATGCAACTAATCGCATCAAGCACCTGTACGAACAGAAAGAACTACAGTCTTACCACCACACCATTACGATGAGGAGCAAAAATCTGCACGGGCTTGAACAGCCGCAACGATCTTACATAACACGTTCCCACACCTGTCTCCCTACGTCACCCTTCAACGTACACCGATCAGCTCTAAACAGCGCATATAATATGACCGAACAGTTGACCGAATGTGGAAGAACCTGCCAAACGTGGTCTACTGTGCTTACAGGAAAGTGCCGACTGCCGAATTCGGACCGTCACGAGTCAGTACTACCAGACGTTTCTGGAGTTGTGGCAGAGCCTCACTGGAACTGCCTGTTGTGGATCCCGTTGACCATGAGCGCCTCGGACCCAAATTTCCACTCTACGGCCAAACCCTGTACATTCGATAGTACTATGGGGACTGTGTCAGCAGCCAACTAGTGGACTATCACCAAAACCGGCACGGGGGAAATACACGGCCAAAGATGCGCGCTGAATGTCCCGAAGCCAGTCACTATCTGTGCAGACCGGGCCGGTATGCTCACTGTGGTATGTACTACCACGAAGTCTGCAGCCATGCCGCACTCTAGAAGATGGAAGCAAGATAATGAGTAGCACGAGGGGAGGATGAGAGGAAGTCCACCAAAACTGCCATCAGACAGTTGCGAGTAAAGCGCTTGCAGCCACGAGATATAACCCAATGTCTAGTAACTTTGGAAAGTCTACTTTGGCCAAGTCGGAATGATATCCTCAGTTCCAGATGTGCATCCCCAGGAAACCCACCGGTTCACGGGTACTTCCGACGTCGCCACCGCTGGTCTCCAGGAGAGCAACCTTGATGAGGGCCAGATCTGCGGTGGTGTCTTCGTTGAGGACTCCAGCAGCGTGTAGATGGAGCACATGCCTAGTGAGCTCGTAATGTTGGAATTAACGACCGAAAATGAAGCGTGGTTTCTCCATCCGTTATCGCCCCTGCGTGAGTACGTGATCTCTCAAACATGTAGGTGAGATGGTACCGTAGATACCGCTCCAAAATTGACCCCATCGATCCATTCAAGTCTTGGAAATTGGGTTAGTGAGTTCGTGATCTTGGAAATATCCGCCGAGAAGGAAGCGTGGACCTGAGTGGTCTCTCGTATTAGTCATGACCCCTGCGTTGGTCTACGTTGGCTTGTTCTTCTCCCTTGCAATTCACACGCAATAGTTTCCTGCACATAATCCTTTTGCCGGTAGCCGCAGCATGTCACGATTGCTGACACGGAGATACCCATAGAACACACCGACACTCGTGAATATCCGGTGGTCGAAAACGACCGTACGAGGCTGGGCTAACTTGAATACACTATCTTGAGCGATATGAGAGCATCACTCGGCCAAATATCAGTGCCGACTCATTTATCTGTAGATGTAAGCAAGAGCTTAAGCAAGCTTAAATATCAGAGCACCATCCTCTCTGGACAGCACCAAGACACTCAATCTAAATCCACTCTACTCCACACTCTTCTACTACCTCTTCGAAACTTCTCACAACCGCCAAAATGGTCCGCATTCTCTCCCTCGCTACTATCATCATCGCCAGCGCCATCAGCGCTCAGGCCGCCCAGTTCTGCCAGTGCCTCTTCGGCGATGGCTCGCACTGCTGCGTCTACTCTGTGAGCAACCCTTCATGAACCACACAAGATGAAATGCATCTTGGGTGCTAATTTGAGATACTCTTTAGGACCCCAAGATTGGTGACCTCGACTGCCAGCGCTGGTGCACCAACGCCCACCGCGCCGATGGTGCCACCAACCCCAACAACCCTCTTGAAGTCGGCACCGCCTGCGCTGCTGGTGGAAAGTACAGCACTGTCAGTGGCTGGAACGCTCAGTTCCGCACCTCTTGCTACAAGCAGTAGATGGTCGTTAGCTCGATCTCGGGAGTCGGCAGTGGCTTTTCATGGGTGGACGGCTAATACGGGGCTGTGGTGGACACGTGGGGAGAGCTGTTTGTTGTAATGGGTTAAGCAGGATGTGCGATATGTAAAGAGGCGACAATCTCAATATTAAATCGGCCCACCAATTATCGTGCTCGCAAGACTTGCTGTCGAACGTGCATATTGTGATGAGATATATTAAAGAAGCAGGGTGCACCCCCGCAAGACCTCGGGAACTAAGCCGTTACTAGCGTACCCGCGCCCCACTCTAACAGCCGAGTTATCCTCCTTTGTACAGAACTACCCGCCTATCTTCTTTGAAGAAGCTTCGCCGAGGTGCTTGGGATCGGCGGTGAGGCTCTTGAGGCTGGGGGATCGACTGCAATGAACGCGCTCCCCCAACCGTGCGATGAGATTGTCAGCTGTGGTGCCGCGCTGGATCGTAGCAGCCTTCTCAGATGTGTAGTAGCTGTCACGGTAGTCGTGACTTCCGAAGGAAGCCACGCATACTCAGCCAGTTTCATCTGGAATCCTATTCGACGCCTCTTTGTTCAAATATCGTCAGATTGTACTAATGCAGTTCTCGTATATGAGTACCTTGATGTCGTGGCCCAGATCAGGAGATAGTGCAAGGCACGCAGCAATTTGACATGCTCTAATCGTACAATAACCAGGTAGATGGTATGCTACCCAGCTACATGGCTTTGGGCCGATGACGAGTGTCTCCCGCAAGCGTCGGGACATTGTTTCAGGGGTGTCTGTGGCTGCGTAATATGGTGCCTGTAATGAGTC